CCCCCCCTTCGGGTCTTTAGTCATCTAAAGTAACTTGTGAGCATGACTACCCGGAATCATCGCCGCAGATCAAAAACTTTTTATTAATAGTTACCACCATGGCATTGTTTTTGATGCTTTGTTGCGAGTAGTTTTTACTGTCTTTTATTCAGAGAATGGGTGCAGTGGGTTCGAAAAAAACAAGTGTCATATTACACTCCTACCTCCCCATAAATACCACCTCTCTATAACGGCCACTTTCCTCCGTCCCATTCTGTAAACCAGCCTTAACTGACAAGTTAAATCAAATAATACTCTTTTTGAGTGATTTTCTTTCTATCTTTGTCTTTCATCCTTTCGTTCAGAAAACCGCTCTCAACTCTCAACATGGTTTGCTAATGGCTTGCACTTAAAGCAAACTTGCGATAAGAGGAGAGAATATTGTCAGTTATTGTGAAAATTTATTCCGCGGTAAATATCACGCCCAACGCGAGGGCGTTGGTCATAACGTGACCTTCGTCACGGAAGCAATTTGATGTCCTCTTTGATAGAAAGTATACATACCAGTACATTAACTTTTGTTTGCGTGAAGTGCATCGCTCTCGTTAGACAGTTATATGCTGGGTACTTGAATTTATTTGCATCGCTTGGATTACGTCACACGTTAGTATATCATTGAAGTGAGCGCAACAGACTAAAACACTCTCGGAAATTGAATGCAGTATGCGGGTTGAACGCTTCATATATGTGCTGATCTGATGGACCATTCTTTGTACTCGAGGTATGCTCACATTTATATTCTTTCTTCGTAAAAGGAACACCGCAATCGCACGCCTTTCGTTGTACTCGTTGTGTTTCCCCCTTCAATGAACATGACCCGGCAAACAATTCTTTTCAAAAGTTAAAATTACATATAAGGCAGAGGAGGTGGTGGAAACACATTTTAAGACGGATTCCGCTCAAAGATCGAGCAATAAACGCAAAAATCATTTACTAAAAATCTACTCATAGCACGGTAACTTTTGGAATATTATCTAAAACAACTTAATTTCTCTAAGGTGTGACATTACATAATTCCATTATGTAATGTCACACCTGAATAGCTAAGCGTATTACACAATAAACTTGTATTGTTGTATTGTCTGTTTTAAGTGAAATATGGATAACTTCAAGTTCAATTTTATCTCGCGGGATCAGCTTGAGAGCTAAAGTCTCGATAAGTTCTTCTTAACTGTATTCCAAACAATACTATGCCATGAGGCTTTTTTGGTAACTTGGACATGAGTTTGATTTAAAAGACAATGAACGTGTAAGAAAAACTCATTTGAATATGAAAGGTTGTGCACCAAGACTCGTTTTTAAACAGAGATAACAGCAACTCGGAAATGGCTTATTCGAGCTAAGTTGCATCACATTTTACATCGATGATGAAACTTTAAAATCAATTAGGAAGTTACAAATATACTCATGTAAGATGGACGACTAGTTGCCAAATTGTTCGGAAATTACGATGGCGATGTTGGTTTCTCTTCTTGCTGTCTAGAAGGAAGAGCTGCTTTAATCAGGTGTTCGATATTATACTGATCCCGGCAGCAACATGAACGTGACTTTCTGTCTGAAAAGTCGGCAAAGTAACGCGTCCTACTGAATCCATACGACCACAAAACAGATCGAAACACGTGTGCCTCGGCGAATGCCATCGCCGTTTAGGTAAAGGCGTACACACACCTTGTATCCATAGCGACTGGTAAAGAAACACGGACTGCAAACGGACACCTGTTACCTTAACCGCGTCGTTTTCTCTGCGAGCATAATCAGAAATCTTCCACAGAATCTATCCGTCATAGCTTGAGAATTCTTGTTGTCTCAAGATCAGTCAGTGTTACATTTCTCAAAGCGCCAGTGTATGCTCGATAGACTCTATCCTTCCTTCTTGCCTCCTGATTATCTGCTGGTTGGTATCAAATTGCACAACTTCACCCACATCACACCTTACTTCCTCTACTCAGTTCTACTGTACTCAGTCTGCGAGCAAATACGTGCATCGCCTCTTTTCGTATTAGAGACGTTCAACTGGGGTTCCCCATACTACCAAAGCAAACAATTGAGCTCGGCTCAACCAGCTTTCTACAAAAGATACAAAACACCACCTAATTTTTAAACTGACGACTGCCAGTATTCCAAAAAGTATTCCTTTATAAAGTGCCGTGATGTTTTGTTACTACTTGTCAGGATATTGATCGAATATTACTTTTGTATGAAATGCCTATCCACAATCAATCAATATTATTCTTTGTTTGCGATATTTTCACTTTCGTCTTCATCAGTTTACGGTACATAATTTCGGCAAGCTAATCCCAAACTAAATAACGAATTTATTTACAATGTTCATGAATTCTACGATAAACAGTCAATATTGATAAAAGCTGCTAATCTGCTTGAACGACAGAGCATGTTTGAAATCACATTCATGATCAGTAAGCGATAAAAAATAAAGAAACATCACGACTAACCAATCAACAAAAGCAGTAGTTTGCATACAGCATCTCGTTCTCCTTATACCTTGCGAAAGACCAACCTCTACCGACGTAAATAGTGCCGCGAAAAAAGTTCTCATTAGACATGCGCAAAAGGGAAAATCCACGAAATCGCTTGGTATGTTATGGAATGCGGAGTGACCAGTATGCGTCTAGCTAATTTTGGCATACTGATGACGTGCTCTTGGATAAATCTCGTATAGCATTTAACCTTGCAGTCAGTCTGTCATCAAAAGCTAAGCGTAGCACTTCTATGTAAACTTAGCGGTCAAATCATGAAGCACTTCTTAACCGATTTTCATGTTTTCGTGGGTCTTTGGCTCGTAAAAGTCGCAGGTAAGCTTTGTAAACATTTTTATTTCTGTACTTCTTTCATGAATTAATTTACTCTACCGAAAATCGCCGTTCAACATAATTTAACCTTACCAGTACTCGTCACGTTCGACATTAAATTTGGTGAAAGATCGACTCGAAAGTCGCGCTAACAAAAACTGAAGAAATTATAAAATCGTTGTAATAACAAGCGTTATTTAAAATTAGTTCTCGCGATAAATTCTGCCTTTCTTTCTCCCTTCGCGTGTCGCATTTGATATCACGTCTTTGCATTTTGGGTTTTTTCCCATCGGGGTCATATGAAAATTTCACAGACAAGACATTGCTGATGGTATGTTCTAGTTATTTAAATTAGTGACGCGTAAAGAACGAGTAACGATATTGATTTTGGAAGTCAAGCATGGCGTCATAAGTCATAGAGCTATCGTTATTTCGTGTCCCTGAAGTTCGGCATCCTAATCTGTCCAGTCTGTAAGTGTAGTTGGTCTTGGAAAAACAATTTTCTATCATTTATTCCTTTCATTTTAAATAAGCTCGGATCATTTTCAACTTTGTCAATAACAAAAATCGCACAAATCTGGATATTTATTTTCTTATCTATACAGACCAAATCACGCATTTAGTGCCCTCCGTAGAATCGCTTCGATTATCTCAATTAATGCGACACACTTAAACCTTCTCAAACTAAAACACTACTCTCAAAACCATTTGTTTCCTTTGTAGTGGCACTCAATGACAGCAAGCCTTCTTCGACGACGAGAATCCACGAAAACGTTACTATGCCCTGTCCCGCGTTACAAGAAGTGGTTAGTAACGACGGGACTTTTGACATTATGTATTGGTCAATTTGCACATCAAGAAGATGTGACCACCAAGGCACTACATGGGATTGGATTGCTGGTATGAACAATAAAGGAATCACACAAGTTGGACCAGAAAGAGTCAACATCACGACGGATGGAGCTCTGGAAATTCACAAAGTAAACCTGAGTGATACTGGGCAATACATGTGTACAGTCAAAACAATCAACCACTCATCGCCTGGAATATATCATACAACTCTTGTTGTCATTGAAGCAGGTAAGTTAAAATTGTGCGTCTGGCTCTTGGTTGGTTTGTCCAAAAAATTCTTCGCATCGGGTTGCTCCAATACAACTCGTTCAGGAAGGTACCTACTTATTTAAGATAGCATGCACGAAAAAGGGACTTCTAAGAAGACAGCTTACGACCGTACAGGGCCTTTTGTCGTTTCACCAGCCGTGTGAGACGCCATAATTCGTCTGCCTAAGAGGGATAAATCGTTTCAGACGTTACAGACGAATCAGCTTAAGACGAATTTGCCCATGTAATACCTACACGTTTTATGTCTGAGACGAACAAATCGTCTCAGGTGGATAAATCGTCTCCTTCTATAAACTCGACGTTTAGATAATTCGTCCCCGGTATAAATTTGCCGTAGAATAGAGTTATATAGCTCTAAACGTTATATTATTTTTTCCTCATGTGATTCACTACAATATATGAAAAAAAAACATCGCAGTAATATTAATGAAGCCTCTACGTTCAGACTTGAACGGGATTCGAACCCCTGACCTGTGCTATGCCGGTACAGTGCTCTATCGACCAAGCTATGAAGTAAATTCCCAGCTGATCATTTTGCGAGTCCATATCCGTAGAAAACGAAGATATGAATGTGACTACATGAAGTTTTGTGGTATTCGCTTTAATAATGTACAAAATTTGTACGCAACCCTTACATTTATTTTCATTTATTTATTTATGTTTTCCCCTCTGGGCTTCTGGTATTAACATATCAACTGAGTGCTGTATTAACTGAGCTCGTTTACTGGCCAATAATAATTTAACTCTCACACGAATGTTTGGAGTTAAATGGCTGAGGGAAAGCCCAAAGCCGGATTTATTAAAATAATCAATTTGTAATTCA